CAAACTCTCTCACCTCATGCTTATGTGGGAAGTCACATGAGACATTTTTCGGAATTTCCCATTTTCTCAGTCTCAAAGAGTCCAAGATGTCCAGGGAGAGAGAGAGTGCGTTTGAGGAGGAACCCGTAATAGAGCGGGGGAGGGTGAGCCCTCTCCGATTTTTGTAGTTTGAGCCACCAATTCTTATCATTTCACGATACCGCAGTGATCCCAACAAAACGTTGGCCCCGACGACAGCCCCTAAGTTGTACCAAGTGTCCGTGTCATAGCTCTTCCTCGCAAGCAAGTGCTGAGCTCAGAGACTTTGAGAGCTGAACTGCTTGTTTGAAGTGGGCGGGTAGCCAGAACTGAACCCTGCTACTCTCATTAGGCAACTTCTCCCGTTAGGAGTAGAAACGTGGAAATCTGGATAGGTTCACCTAATCCTTCAAACCGGGTATGTTCTTGGTAGGCCGCTTTTTAAAGCGACAGATTGCGCAACGTAAATCCCCCAAGCCACGACTAGGTCATACTCCTGGGATAGAATTCCGCGACCCTGAGGATAGCACTGCAGTAGCGGTAGTCAACCGCGAAGGCTGCCCTTATAATAGGCCCTATCAAAGATGCAACTTTACGTCCCAAACGGCCTGCCAGCCCGCCGGCCACAATGTCGACCGTTACCTGAGCGCTCTAATCGATTCATTGCTAGCAACGGTATAAGGCGATAGGGATGTCGGTAGAAGCGACCGTGATGCTGCCATGATCCAGAAGGGTACACAAATATGCAGCCCATCACTTCGGTCGGCGGACTGATTGGTAAGTGCCCACGTAAACTCGCCGGAAATCGATTTCATGTCACTGCGACGGAACGCTTTTCTTCGGGATTTTGACCGTGCACTCCGTTCTTCTCGCAATGATTCCCCACTACACAACGCCCCTACAGCATTTGCTACAGTAGGACAAACCATCGTGCCACCTACCTTTGAGTAAAAAAAGTTCATGAGTACTGAATTGTGTTTAAAATTCCCTGTGAAAAACACAAAAAAAGGTTACCATGCTCTCGCGGACTGAAAGTGCTAGTAATAAGGGAAGAGAAGGTAATTTCAAACGGGACTTGCTAGGTGCAGAGAATGCGATTAAAGTCATCTGCAAGCGGTACTTTAGCAGTTTTGAAGTTGATTCCTGGAGACTTTTCGTCTCTTCAGGCCCAGATAGAACACTAGAACATAGGTACACACGCCCCAACCAGACAAATTCTCAGTTTCGCTCAGAAGTCTTTTACAGAGTCCTTTTGACGAATACCAACGCCTCTTTTACAATGGCCTCTACCATAGGGCTGCGTTCATTTTGGGCACTTACCGTCTCTCCAATGCTAATCACGACCTTACCTTGCATTTACTCGTGTTGATCACTTTTATTCTCATATTCTTTCCTCATTCTTTTTGCGCACTTCTTCAGTTTTGTGGCAGACTTACGTATCACTGAGTTTGAATTCCAAATTGGACTGACTGAACAGCTAAATCAATGGCGCGTCACATACACCTGCCTAATCAGTCGCGAAACAGATTGCCTTCCTCGGCTTGCGCAATCCCCTTCTCGATGTTGGGAGCAAACAATGACAAGTTCGCCTTGAAAGACTCGCCCATGCGACGACGTGGAGTGTGGGTGTTTCTTTAAATGACAGTCATTGATATTTTAATTTCCTCATACCTTCTGGCTTTGGACTGATTTCCGCTCGACAATGGTCTATATGCTTCCATCCTCTAACTGATGAACCCAGCGCTCTCAACCACCGTTTAAACTACTTACCTGTCACCATTGGACTTCGCCGTGTTGTTAGTCTCCTAATGGTTTCAACCATCCAGTCAGGTGAACTCACACTTTATGAGTTCCTTTTTAGGAAGAAGCTTTGCGACCGTGCCACTTCGGGGAGCTGACAACGAGTAGAAGGAATCGCCGGGTGACCCGAACTGAATGTGCCCGGAAGTAGTAGAAGCCCGACGCAAATCAGATATTTCTTCTCATTTCTTCGACTGTTTCTTAGCCCCGTTCAATCGTCAATTCTTTCTTATTCCCTTGCAATGTTGGGAACAACAACGACTTTGGCCATGTTCAGGATTCCAGCATTTTACAAGGTCCTAGATAAATAACGTGAACCCGGTGTGTTCCAATAGCTGACTAATGTGAAGCTGGAGCACTGCGGGAATAACCAAGCGTGAATATGTGAAAGGATATCATTTCTATGGGAGAGGAGGGGTTGGAATTCTGCAAAATACGTCCACTACCCCGCTCCCCTCACAGGATCTCCGATAATATACCCCAGAAATGAGACGTTACTAGCTGAGAGAAGAGAGTGGGACCACACGAGTAGTGAAGTGGAATCTCTCCTTTCTAAAGCCGGTATGCGAATCTCTGATCACCCCTTCTCGCACGTATGCAAGACCCCAACGATAATCTATTGAAGTTTGAGTTGCACATGCAATTTTTCCGTCCTCGCCTCAAACTTTTATTCAAAATTTATTCTATGGCTCTAGTTTCTGAATTCTAATTTTTTCTTTTAAGCAAGGATGACATTCAGAATACAGGGACTGATAAGGATAACATTCAGAATACAGGGACTGATAAGGATAACATTCAGAATACAGGGACTGACATATTCACGAATAGAGACCTGCAAATCCGTAATTTATTGATGCAGCTGTGAATAAGGGCACAAAGCGCTTTCGGATGAGCAAATATACTATTTTGTTTGCTCTAAACTATTGGAAATCACGTAAAAGTACTACCGATTTAATGAACTACCAAACTGTGGGATGATAAATTGCTGCTTAACACCTTTGACAGCTACCTGACGCGGCTTGCAATGAAAAGGGTACCTGATCATGTGACACTGACTACTGTAGAAGCTCAAAAAGTTCTTGTAGCTAGTGAAGTGAGCCGCAACCAGATTTCTTCGCATTCGCTACATTCTGCTTTCGAGGCGAATCATCAATGGGATTTCTATAGAGCAGGGATCTTATTCGATATTTGCTCTTTTATTGCTTTCACTCTGCTCCCCCTTTCTGTCGTTTTTACATTATGTTGATAGTCGATTGTGTATTTCTCCCTCCATTTGGATTGTGTATTTCTCCCTTCATTTGACGGGAATTCGTAGTTCGGCGAAGGAGAGGGGATGTGTATGAGAAGGGGTGCATATCTTTGGAGAACTATTTCCATCACGGTGGTGTAAGTGTCTGCGAGACATTAGATGAGCCATGAACAGCACACTTTCCATTCCCATTCTCTCTCTGGAAGGGGACTCTCGACGTGTAGTCGTGTTACGGTCACGTTCTGCCGTCGGGGAAACTTTACAAATTTCGGAATTTTCTCTACTGATACGCCCCCTCCTCCTTGCTGAGGGTCCCCAACGTACGACTGCTCTGGTCGCGGTACAGTAGCAGTAAGAACTCATGAAGAAATTCTGCTGTATGGCTGCTGCTTACCTCATCTTCAAAACTGGTTGACCCTGTCGGAGTGCTCTCAAATGGGAAGTAATTCGGTCTGACCTGGGGGTCGGTTTTGCTCAGCAGGCCAACTCCTAATGCCTGTAGATTGAATTGGGTTTGTGTTTTGCGCAAGCTCTGCCAGAGCGCGGGGAAGGGTGGAGGAGGGGGGACGTCATCAAGAGTTACGTAACGATTATGAAACGGATTGACGTGTGAGTGTCGGTATACTCGATATACTGAACGTTCCAGACACCCTTAGCTTGTCCTGGAGGTTTTCTGGCTAGATCTTTCAAAGAATCGCGTGCTCGCTTAGAATCTCTTGAAGGTACAAAAGGGACCCCCCGGACCACCTGTGCTAATTTGAGAGAAGAACTAGAAGAACCTTTTCCATAACCTTGCAAAAAACTTCTGCCAGAACCTTTGCCAAATTCCCGCGTTCCTGCTATCTGCCCTTCTAGAGCGAAATCCCAAACTCATCCTGAATGCCGCTGCTTCACTCTATACCTGTATATCCGCGGAGGCGAACTGCGTATATGATCGCGCCGAATTTTACCGCACAAATCCCGCATCTGGTGGCATACCGTAATCCCCACCCACGTCTCGCGTACGTAAACTGAGGCACATCTTGCCCTCCAGGAACAGGCAGCATTCCCTCGCCATATCGGGGTTGATTCTTGCGGCCTCCGTTCAAGAGTTTGAAGCGAAACTAACGCGGAAGATGTCATCGTCTTCCTCGTCGTATCAGCATACGGTAACTCAGGGTTCGACTCAAACGTTGAGAGGCAGGCGGCGTATGTTCATAGCACGTTGATGGATGGCGCGCGCGAGAGAGAGTGAGGAGAAATCTCGGCGCGACGAGAGCCACCAGCAGCCCGGGCGGTCGCGTCGACGCTCGCACGGCCGCGTTCCGTGATCGGCCGGCGGCGTTGGACTGGCTGGATAGATAAGCTGCCTGATGGCTGGCGGTGTCTTTTCGCTATGTCAATGGCCGGCGAAAGGCCGAGATAACCAACTCGCATCGCAGTCTCCAGGCTTACACGTGCCGCACCGACTGATGAAAGTCAGATTAAGGCCAAGCGTACGAATGCGACTTCGGAGGGAGTGAGTGCGCCTTGAGGGCTAAAGTGAACGGATTTAACTATGTTCTAATGGATAGGGAGACTACGAGGGTCCATAAAAGGGGCTATTCAGCTTTGAAGATACCAGCGGGCTGCTCAGAAAACCTTCGAGAGATCATTTTACTGCAACTTTTGGGATCAATTTTTTACAAGGAGGGGTTACAGAGCGCTTCCTCAGAATACTTGAAACCACTTGCTTCTCAGACGACATAAAACTATCTCCTGCTTCCTTGGGAATACCCAGAATCTCTTCCAAAGTAAATTATTCCCACTTTAAGAAAGTCTCCAGTGAGTGTTCTCTGCTATCCCTTTACCCCCTCTTTTCCACCGATCTTTCGTCTTCATTTTCCATGTATTCGACCGTTTTTCCTTGAATTCTCGCCTACCGTATCCTCGTCATGATTTTGTATCAACGCGAATGTCAGTCGGGCAGGGCGCGACTGCCGCTCGACAGGCATCTGACGGCGACAGGCGGGCGCTCCGCCTCCCGCCCGTGAGCCGACCAATCGCCGTTGGCGGAAACGGCAGCCGCGCCACGCCTCTCGAGATGCTAGCGCACAGTCCGCTTAATGAGCTGCGATTTGTTAAGTGTGCGCCTATGACGTCATCAGAGTTCGCTGGTGGGCCTGCGCAAGGGCTAAACGGCCTAGGAGTTTTCTACTATGATTCTCAAACACATCAATCAACACCGTCTGCCTATTTCCCTACACAAACCACTGCCGTCGCTCCAACGGCTAGCTTTACGAGCCAGTCAGGGCAAGATCCGGTACGTTTTATTATGCTTATCGCTATTATTTTTATTCACTTACTGTTTAAAAATTGCTTTGGTGTCCCTGAAGATTGCACTTTCGCCTAGACCGAACCGATAAGGCACTTTGCTATGTGAACTTGACGCTGTGCAGTTCGATTTTGACACCCTGGCTGAGTACTTTTGGCATACTGCCAAGGCTTTTCTTCCAATTTTCCATCAATTCATTCGTCTATCGGTCGCCTCGTGATTAAGTGGGGTGTAATGGCGTTGGAAAATAGCACGGACGGCATCACAGCTGCATCATCACCATCGTGATTGTGTTTCAATCAATCGTCCAGTACAAAACTAACTGCTTTGCGATCGTTTCCAATTATTGTCAACGCTTTCGCAAAGTCATATCTCAGTAGGTGGATCGTTAATCAATTGATTGATTAGCTGATTAGAAAAACTAATACCTGAGACAAATGAGAATTTCCCCGACTAGGGTGGCGATGACGGTTA